ACCGCGGGATACTACCTTGGGTAACAACCTACGCGAGATACGAAATACGGCAGACGTATCTGGAGGATAGTAGCCAGGAAACGACCCGGTGACCAGACACCATTAAGCCCTGCCCACTCGACGAGATCCGCCCACGGAACGGGATGCACATCGATGTTCGCAGTTACTATATATATATACATATATATATATGTACTAGACGATCTTCGTTATTATTGACGTATCACCGATGGCGCTTTTCTATCCTTATATATAACGCACGCGAGAGAAAAGGGGAAGATGCGGAAAAGAGGTATATCACCTCATCTCCACCGTCTCTCCTTTTTCCTTGGTCGATTGACTCACAGAAAATGCCAGTTACTTTGGCCGTCCTTTACGTCTGTCTCTTTCCTTCCACCGTTCCTTTCCCTTCACTTCTCCCCCTTCTTTTTCTTCGTTATCTCTTTCTCTACCCGATATATATCTCTTGCTTTTTCTGGATTTCACTGTCTCTTTCCCTCTCTCTCCCTCCTTTTCTTTTTCTCGTTCGATCGACTCGAGAGAGCAGGCTGGCATGCCGCCTCAGGAGTACGAGAAATGCAATAAGAAAGGAGAGAACTGTCGGTGAGCTGCCGCACCGATCAGAGAGTAGAGAGAGGAAGGAGTGCCGCGATGTCGGGGTACGCGGGAGGAACACGTGAAAGAGAGCGTTGTGAACCGGCGATATCCTCTTTCTCTCTCTTTCCCTCGTCACGTTCCGGCCAATTTCGAATTTTTAATTGGACAACGAGATATTTACTCCCGATTCTCTCTTTCTCTGCGCTTTTTTTTTCCGGTTCGCGCGATACCGACCGACTGGTTAGGTCATTTCACATCTCTCTTATCTGAGAACTTTGTGGAGAAATCGGTCGCTCTCTTATCAGGACACGTGTATATAATATCAAGGAGAGCCTGATGGAATTTGAAATTTGCAATTTATTCAAAGAGAGAATTGCGATATAGAGGTTATATTATACGTGTAGGATATGTTATTAGGAAGAGGAGGGGGGGGGGGAATGGCAAAAAGAAAAAAGGATCTCTGTGATCGCCACTGATGCCGGCCGACATTCCCGAATCAGGTTTTACTTGTCTGATATTTCGGCGACCGATCTCCTAATTTTTGTTATAGGGGAGGGAGATCCAAGGCATCCTGGTTCGTCGACCAGATATTTGATATAGAAGAAAAATGATTGAAGATATTAATATACTTCCTTATTTCGCATCAGAAATTATAAATAATAATTTGATTTAATGATTTAATTAGGGATAATTAAATCCTTTTTATAAATGTAAAAGAGAATATTCTCTTTACTTGGTTAAATAAACAATATAAATAAAAGTAAACCTCGATAATTTTCTAATACGAATATATTCCAAATTTAAAGCATGCGCATTCTTAATCAATAATAAATCATATTGTTTGCAATTTTAATTCAATAATTCAAATTCCTCTCGTAAAACTTTAAATTAAATTTAAAGCACGAAAATATTTTAAACACTTATAATCTTCTGATCGATAATAAATTTCAAAAATAAATCCAATCGAATCTTTTCACGAATTATAAAAATATAAAAGCGAATAAATTTAAAGTTTTACTAGAAACTAATAGAAATCGACTTTTTTTTTAAATCTAGAAACAATAGAAATTAACAATAAAAGTAAAAGTCCTAAGAGTGACCTAATGCATTTGCTACGATACTTATCAGAGCACCGGCCTCTCCCACGCGGCCCGATCTTAATGAATGAATGAATGAATGAATGAGTGAATGAATGAATTACGTCACACGCCGGAGATGCACTTATACGTAGAACAGAGCGTAAAGAGTTCCTGTGCAAAAATAGGCGCCCACTTGATTTCTCGAGGGAAAGTTGTAATTACACATAGGACATCGAAAAAGAGAGAAAGGGAGAGAGAATATTGCCTTAGATCAAATCGAATATAATAAGAAAATAAGAAAGAAGACGCTTATATGCTTACATTTCAAGAGATGCCAAATTCACCTGCATACAAAGTTACAACACAAAGCGAAACTGAATTGTTTTGCAAAAACCGCAAGGACCGTTACGCGTCCACGATGAAACCGCATTTCAGTCACTATCAGAACATAAAGTATACCTCGGTCGGAGTCGTATTTTATTTTAATAACAGCGATTCATGGCCATATTGGTCGCGTTTCTTTTCTATTTTCGTTACGTAGCTAAAATCGGTGCGAACAGCGCTAAGATAAACCATGTACGTATAGATTAACGCTTGTGTAACGGGCATGACCGAGCACTTTCCTTCTGATGAAAGACTCGACAAGTTGCTCCGTAACTGGCTCGAACCGAATCAGAGCGTGAAGAAAAATGGCCCCAAAGTGAAAATGATACCGCGAATTTCGCGATGGCCGCGTGCCACAGACTTTCTTCGAACCGCTTCGCTGCTTTCGCCGATTCGCTGAAATCGAAAACTTGGACGAGCGTACCACGCGTCCAATCCTTCATTGCACGCATGCTGCACCCATTGAATTCCAGAATCGAAGAGGCCTGCGATAACCGGTGACAATCCGTACATTTTTATGAGGCGTTAGATAGAGAGCCGATCGCGTTCCATCGCGGCACACACAATTTTCCAAGAACCTTTAGCCGGGGAATTTGCATGAGAAACGGAACGAAGTTCGCAGGTTCGTCACTGCCGATGGAAAGGGAAGAGACTGAGAGAGATTGCGTGCGAATACCACGAAAAGAAAGAAAGAGAAGAGAAAAAAAGGAAAATCTAGACGTAAGGGGAGCCGGCATCTTCGTTGAATGCGTCTCGAGGATCACAGGATCGTACCAATATGCCTTGACACTTTGTTACAATGAAGAAACTCGAGAGGATTCGGATAAGGATACACGGTAAGGGTACTTCTTTCTACGAGGAGAGAAAGTCATATCGATGACAGATACGAAATAAAAAAAGAAGAGAGAATCTTGGTCAAAAAAGTATCGAGGCTCTTCTGTAAACTCTTCTTTTATTCAGGTTACGATAAATCTGAAATCTCGGTGGATAAAATTAGATACGTATCTTTGGAAATAAAAAAAAAAAGAGAGAATCAAAGGAATGTCGATATTTTTTCTTTTATTACGAAAAATTTGAAATTTTACCTATTTCAAATAGTATGCAAATTTTACGACACCTTAGAGAAACTTCTGACCGTAGGGGGTCAATTATAAAATCGAGCCGATCATAGATGAATAAAAAGAAAAATATTACAATCGTGTATTTTACTTTCCATGGTTTACAACAAGCGTATAAAAGGACTTGTTCAATCTTCGTTCAAGGTAATATTACGGAGATGATTTTTAATAAACTTGATAGATCAATCAATCAATAATTCCGGTAAAATACAGGATTCGTAGCAACGAAATAGTTTCCAAGAATCGAGTGTGAATAATATCTCGAGAAAATTAATTTACTAGATGATTAATCCTTTGGATCTGATTTTATTAGGTAATTTCGAGGAATTCTAAATCTTTCCGTAACGAGAATTTCCCTCTTGTTATCCGGTTTTTTATGCAGTCGTAGTTTACGCGGTACTTATCGGAATTTACATAATTAATGGCGCTAAACAGCTGTAATTGGCGCCGCACGTAACACGCACAACACACTTGCGATAACATTGTTCGATCAAACGTGTACGAAGAAAAAATAAGTTCACTATCATTGTCACATATTTCCGCGCATGCGTGGAAATCGTCAATTTAACGAAGAAATTGCAGCGAAAACTTGAAGTATTCTTTGCATATGCATTATGCAAATATTGATATTTCCAACGCGATACTTTATGACGCGAAATACATGCTAACAACGAGGCATGCGGAAGAACGCGGTGTGAGCTCGCGGTTGACGCGATTTCTTGGTAGCAATAAAACCAAATCTTCGCGTTCAAATAAAATTGACATTTACAAATACGTGGACGATTTGATAATTTGCTTTGTTTAAAGAACTCAACCGCTTATCAACAAGATTTTTTTGTATTCAACTATCAAGATTTTATAAATTACAAACTAACTTTACAAAATATTAAACCTATCATAATTACAATTATCTAAAAAAAACCTATTATAGCTAAAACTTTTGCGTTTGTATTTTTTTTGATACGGTATACTATTTTAACACGGTTATCACGGTCCTCATAAAGACTACATATTAATACTAATTGCACATAATCGAGTACATGAAAAAGCAATTGAACCGAAAAATAGAAATGCCAAAGGGGCACTGCAGCCGCGTAACACGCTACTGGAGTTATCCCTCGCCGCGCGACTGCGGCGCGAATGGCAAAAAGGCTTAACCGCATTCCGGCGACCATTTAAACCGCCGCGGCGGGGTCCACGCTTGACCGCAAGCAGCGAACCGACCGGCGCGGCTATCGATTGACGTCACTTGGTACCGCGTGACCTTCGAGTTCCCGCGCGATTAACTGCGCATGCTCGAATGATCCTGTTCCACCGGGTATGCACCTGCAAATACGACCCGCGCATCCACGAATGCATCACTATAAAATGCGACGCGATAAGACTCGAACGTCTCGTTTTCTCGCTATCGATCTTGTTCGTTTGAATTTCCCCATTAATTTTTACTTTTTTTTTTGTTGAAATATTCGTTTAACACGACAGAAGATAAAAGGTGTAATCGATCGAGAGATTACAAACGTTGTTAGATGGGTAAAGGCTGGATGTAAAAGCTAGCCGGCAGTAAATGACCGGTTAGATACCGCAGACGTCACGCAGCGTGGCGCAAGCCCCCTAAGTCCGCGACGCATTGCTCGTATGAAAAAGATGCGCATGCGTTGTTCCTCGTCATGCCTCTTCGGTATATAGCAACCCTGACTTTTACCTTGTCTCTCTTTCAAGAATTGCTCAATTTAAAGCATGCGCGGTCAAATGAAATCTTCCGTAATACCGCCTATTCTATTCTTTTCAAGTAGAAACGTTTCTTTAGATAAATGCGGGAAACTACTAGAATAAATGATAAGCCTTCGTATTATCTGAACTACTAAGAGCAGTCTGAAAGAAAGAAAAAAAAATAGATTATCGATTGCCTCATACTGATTTTAAGGGTGAAAAAATAATCCCGTGAACTCTTGAATAAATCAGATTACATAAGGGGGCAACAGTGCAGAGGTCCCACCAGATATCAAAAACGGGTGCTTTTTCTTGCCCAAAACGAGGCCAGATCTCATAATCAGGAATTATATAAAAGTGAGAACTGATCATATATACTTTCCGAATTCTTTTTCCAAAATATGTATTTTAGTTGATATTAGAATTTTTCGTTCATTATTTCATCTTTGTTCTGACTCATCATTACCTCTTTCTTTTCTTTTTTCTCTTATTCTGCAAATCAAACAAAAATATGATTGTTAAGATCTTCCGAAAGTAACCATGAATACATTTAACGAGGTCACATCGCTTGTTCGTGGACGTGCACCGGTTTCTCGTCGTTTCACTGACCTGTCTGGCCGCGGTCAAAAGTAGCCATTTGCAAGTCGTGGCCCTGGCAATTACCAATTACGAACGGTGACACGACTACACGAAGGCCGAATCTGCGGTGTGTCCGGTCGCACGGTGCTGTCTTCTTGATCCATTAAACGGTCCCGATCAGGAAACGGCGTATAGCTTTTATAAGAGGTCGACGTTCGTACACGCTCAAGAATTCTCTCACCGTTTCGCTGCCTGCGCATTCTCCTCTCCCGTTCTCTTCACCCACTCAGAAAATTCAATCGCGTCGATCAAACGTTACAGTCAATTATCCCAGTCTCCCAGTTCGATCGATACCGTCGAATCACATCCGTGATCGTTAACGTATCGCGACGCGAATCATTTCGATTCCAATTGAATGATTGAAAGCTTTTCGCGATCGATCAAAACAATTTATCGATTATATTTATTCAATCCGTTATTCGATTAACATATATTTTAATATAAATTCCGAGTAAACATCTATATTCTATTCAAAATTTTTTCTGTTCAGTATATTATAAAAAGCTATCTATTTTTTGCAGGAATCAAATAAAAAAACACGATCGTAACATATTTTTTCACTTCGTTAAACATAACCTCTAACTCGTCAAAACCTATATCATGAAACATCGACATCGGCGCGAAGATTAAGACAACTCGCTGAAAACGTGTTCGAAATGTCACATTGTATCGAGTGCATCGTAAACATAACGTAGAAAAATAGGAAATATCAATACATACTATGTACAGCCTGGTGTGCAATGCCGGGGTTCAATTTGACGTGTAATCGGAAGAAAAGACTGTACGCGCCGACTAAGTGTCAGGTCACGTGCGCGCGCATTAAGTATCGCTACACACGTGCACACGAATGCAGGCGGCATGCAACTATGTGCGGGCAAAGCGACGCGGTCGTTAGGCGACTCTTTCCTCGTCATGCTCTCCTATCATACCAGCCACGTTACACGCGCGCAACGGCCACGTTCGAATGTCATCGAACAGCATCGTGTGCGTGCATTCTCAGTATCTATAAAACAATGTTAAGATGTCGTCATGTGGTGCAACATATTTTCAGATGGTAAACGGCACTATCTCCCCACCTATCTTAGACGAGACGACACTACGTGGCGAATTATATGACTCGCGCCAAATCGCGTATATACGTTCATATTCTTTTTCTCTTTAGAACTTTCTTGCTTTCTCTCAGAATCACTAAATAGTTAGATCGAACATTGCACAGAACGATGTTTTCACGAACCTGTACGTGACGAGTCTTGAAAACTGACACTAGAAATCTAATCACGAGGTGCTACACCGAACAACCCACTCGAGGAATTTACAGGACGCGTCTCCATTTTCTGCGCGCGCACATCTTTCTGCGCGAACTTGGATGCGCAGTGCCAACATCATAAGCGTTTTAAGAGACATATATTTTATGTCGTATCATGGATCATTAAAAAAGTTTTGAAAAGAAAATATAAATTATAGTAAAATGCTTGAAGTTCAGAATTTAATATACATATGTTGTATAATATAATAAAATATATAATATATAATTGTATATAATTCATCAAATTATTTTTTTACGTTAAAAATTCATATTACCAAAAAAAAATTATTTCTTATCGTAATAATTGATGTTTAATTATGAAACTTCTCAGACAAGAAAAGAAGCCATTGATGGATATTTTGCAGATTTTAACGGCTTTAGAATGATTTCGTAACATGGAATAACGAAGTGTATTGAGATTTAAAGATAATACTGAAAAACAAAAATAGAAATAATATTTATTTCTATTTCAAGAACTTTTCAAATGATCCGTGTATTTGTATACAATATAAGCCAAAATATAGTGAGGTCGTAAATTAAATCATCGAGTATCTATAGTAAACAACTTCTTTATACTGCCCATACCGAATAATCATGGGCGAACTAGATAGTATTACTAGATTGTTCTTCTTTGAAAACAAAAACAATGATTTTTTTCGTAAATCTTCCTCTTCCTTCAAAACTTCCATTATACATATATAACTACTTTATACAATTGTACGTTTACTAAGAACTTATTCAGTTTTTCCCCTTCTTTTTTGCACCATATATATGGCATTAAAAAATTTTTACCTGTAAAAGAATAAATAAAGAAATTATCTAAAAATGTTGATTCGTTTCACTATTTTAGCACTCTAGATTCAATTAATGTTCTATTTAAATATCCATACGGTAAAAAAATGATTTATACTGGTTACTAATCGAATTTACAACTTCGCTATATCATCGTGTTAGTATATAAATAACAGATTCATTATGTGTAATCGCACGTTTGTTCTTTTCATGTTTTTTCGATGATATTTTAACGTTCTATGCGACACGAGACAAACTTTCGCACATTTAGATACGCGTGAAGTTATCGATACGAACAATGATTGCAGCTTGGAACAAATATTAAATACTTATTAATATAAATATATATACACCGTTTATTTTTATGACAATACTTTGAGTAAAATTGACATAATACTTTAAGTGATAAAAGATAAGGAATTTTTAAAATTCTAAAGAGTCGTGTGTGAAATTAATGAAATGTATGTAAAATTATTTAGTATGTACATAGTTAATATTTAGATATTTATTCAGCAGCTGCATAATCATGTTATTTAAGATGATTACGTAAAGATATTAGATATACATATTTATATCAGATAATGGACTATAATAAGTCATCTAATTATTTTAATACGTTATAATAGATCTGTCTTATTATAATATTTCAATATATCAAATTCAATATACACGAAAATTTTACATTTAAAGTATACTTCTTATTTTAATCCTTAATCCTTCGATGCAGATCGTGAGATAAATTTCTCGAGAGTATTTTTACAAAAGAAAATCCACCTTTACGTATTCTATGATTAAAAAATTTTTCAATGACATCGACACAACAAGATAAAACATCAAATATTCCTCCCCTCCTTCCCCCATAGCAATCATTCTCGTCATTGAAAGCGAACGAACGTCGCGTATACAATAGCAATTAAATTACATTTACGTTTCCAATGACTATATGGTACTAATGTATAGGTTAACGTATAACCTTCGCCGTTATTAAACTTAAAACGAACGGAATATCTCGTCCCGAGGCACAATGATAAGTATCTAAGGAAATACCGTTGTAAAATATTCACGAAAGCTGTGGCAACTCGCGTTATAGTATTCTGATAACGAGATCGTGCGCACACGCGAAAGGAGGGCCTTTGAACTGTTCTCTCTCTTTATCGACTCTTCGACCGCTTCATACATTGTAAATCTTTCTCCTCGAAGAAACCGAGAAATTTGACACAAGCGTGTTGCCTCTGAAAAATCACACATTGCGAACAAAAACGTCTCTGTTCGGCATACCGACGACTGATTACTTTGCGAAAATATTACTTGCATCGTGGAACAAAAGACTTGCGCCTAACCCTTTGTCCTTCTACTATGTACCATATACATATACGCGAAAGCGAAAACGAAAAATAAAAAAAAAAAGAGAGAGAAAGAAATGTAAAAAAAAATCGTACTTCATCGTGCACATTAACGTGGATCAAATTATTTGTACAAACATGAAACGATATATTGTGTATATCTTGTGATGCACAACTGTGTGTTCAGGTTTTTCGAAAAAGAACAGCCGATAGGCAGAATCGAAAATTCTCACGAGTTTCTTCCTTTCCTATCTCTTTCTTTTCTTTTTTATCTTTGTTCTTTCCCTTCCCCATCGAAGAATAGAACAACGAAGAAAGAAGGTTGTCGAGAGGACGTTAGCGTAACGACCATCGAACTTGGGTCTAAAACGAGTTTCTTTTCTCGATTGTGTCGCATTCACGACGCTGCCACGACGAATGACGAATAACCAAACGCGTGATTAGCATACTCATGCGGGTAACCGAATTCGGCGAACTGCACTCTCCCCGAGAGAAGAGTGTTGTACCGTCAATTGCACTCGATTAAGAGGAGGATCCTTCTTAGGTTCGACCTTGCCTTGCCTCCGTTTAAAAGGGTACAAAAGAACAAGATGAATAAACTCGTTGATCCTTTGGCGGATGGCTAAGATAAAACGTTATACCTTCGAGCAAGGGAATAAGCGGTATATTTGCACTACTTAAAATTTCATATGTGAAAACGCGTATTGACCAATGAAAGTGAAATGATAATGATGTATGATATGCAAAGTGAAATGATAAAAAATGAATAGTATTTTTTTCAATCATTGAAATTATAAAATTTTTAACAGTATAAATTTTATGAATATGTAGCTATTATAACAATCTGCTTTAATATTTTTAGAAATACTATTAAATCTTAGCATGTTTCTCGTAAGTAATAGGTTTGTAAGAAAAGAAAGATAGAAAAAAACTTTCAGACTAGACTTGTTTTAACTTGAATAGATTTTTAAAATCTTAACATTTTAGAATATTTCATGGTTTTCAAGTAAAGATGAACGAATATTCTTGAATTGAGAATTTATAATATGTATGTTTTGTATTATAACATAAAGCGATTACTGAGACGAATTTTATAATCTACAACACAATATTATTCAATGTTACCAAAATATAAAAATAAAAGAAAAACGAAGAAATCGAAAACCATGACCAATTTAAAAAATTTTTTAAACTATACATGTATGGAAAATAAAAGATCTTTCTCCATTTTTTTAAAAACCTATCACTCAAGAAAAAATCACCTTATATTACTGTCAATCCTGAAGGTGAAAAAGAATGAAAATTTATGATCTAAAATCGAATTTTCAGTAGTAAAATAGACGAATATATTAGCAGTCTCCGATTATAATTCAATGTCACATCACGAATATTAAACTAATTAAACGTGCAAATAATTAATAATGTTCATTTCTTAACATAATATCATAACAAAAAAGTATTATGCTATATATATATATATATTTAATATGCTAGATATACATTTAGCATACTAAATATCAGAGATAGAATAGAATGCGATGACACAGCAGAAATATCAACAGAAGTAACATGATCGAGAGCAAAATGAGGAAAGGGAAATTCATGACTCACCGGAATCAGAAGGTGTCTGTACACCAAGATGTTCCAAGTTCTTCCCGATAGGCTGATTTAGATGATAGCAATGATCGCTTAGAGTGTTCCTGATATTGGTCTCTCTATGCACTTGACACTGATTTTCCTCCTCCTCTTTTCTCCTGTCATGGAACCTGACCAGCTGGCCAGTTACCTCGCTCACTGGAACAGCCTTGGTAACCGCGTCTGACATGCACTCGGACAATTTCTCGTGTATATTGATCTGATCGTGTCTGAAGAACGGGCCCTCGTCTTCCGTCTCCGTGTCGGAGCTCGAGCTTGGTGTTTCCGGCCTAGTTGAATCTCCGTCACTCTCCAGATTTTTTGTACGGCACTGTTGCTGACTGATCAAAGGATTTCCTATATGAGCTATGCCTGCCCGCGATATCAACACACTACGACCGGCCGGCACCTTTTTCTGCATCTGTGAATTTTTCTTCGCGGGCAACGTCCTGTTATGCTCTTTACTGATGCACAGCCCAGCCCACATGCAATCATGATGACGTATCTTTCGTGACGGAAGACAGCTCATTTTGCCGTAGTACAAATCCGGTAGAACGCTATCGTCGAACGTGCGCTCGTGATATACATCCGTATGGACGGCGTCCAATCGGTCCAGCGGGAAGTCAAAATCGAATTTCTTCCATATATCGTCGGATACCACTGTCGTGGTAGCCAAAGGCTCGTCCAACAGGCCTAGATCAGAGCAATCCCAAACTGGCACCGGCATTTCGCCTGAAATATATGTAATGAATTTATTATCTTTTTTTTATTTCTCATAAATAACTGGTAATTTTAATTAATATATTGATATTCAAATCATCATCTGATTTAAAATTAAATTTTAAGTTTTTCTTTGTATTAAAAAATGTTTAAATTTAAACTCCATTCTCTGTTATATATTTTATATTTACACATTTTCAATCTGTTACAACCTGTTAAATACTATTTGCATTATTTTTCTAAATACCGTAAATCATAAACTGTTTTTTTTTATTATTATATGGGCGACCTATAAGAGGAACATCATTTTTCAGAATCCTGAAACATAAATCACTACTTAGTCGATAATTTCTTTTACAACTTAACTATATTTTTGTCCTTATAAAAGTACATTTACTTTAGACAAAAGGTACTTTAGATACTATACCGGATAATAAAATGAGAAAATAAAAACTGTTATTTTTAATAGGAAACAAGGGGAATGGAAAGTATGAATGAATTTTTATTATAGGTTTTTAATGTCGATCATCCGATCGATCGTCTATCTAAGAGAACTTTATTTCTTTTATTGTTATAATATGTTGCTTCTAGTGCACTGTAATGACTATTCGGTATTGTATCGCGTGTTGTAATGTCAACGCGCATTATCACGCGAATCACCGAAACGAATACAGTTAACGCTATGAAAATATG